ATTATGAAACAATAAAATTTTAATCCTGTCTAAATTTTAAATTTTTGGATGATGCATATATTTTGGGAAGTGACATAAATAAACACTTAAACACTATTTTAAAGAAAAAAATTGTTTTCGATCCACAATGTACAAAATTTGAACTATCATAATTATATTTGATATTTTGTCAGATATTAATTTTTATATTATGTTCAACTTAGAAGTTTTGAATATAAATATTCAAAATTAAACAATAAGCCGCGCAAATTTACATTAAAGTTAAGGAATCAATTTTTTTTTACCTTGAGGCGAAGCACATTATTTATTTTTCTGAAAACATAAAACTCTGTCACCTGAATAGGGGCGTGGAGTTCACCGTTGGGTCTGCTGTGTATGTCGTCTGCATTGCGGTGCAGGGCCGTGCGACAAACACGGACCGCCGCTTTATCTGCTTGAAAGATTGCCAACCTGGGAGGCAGAAACGCTGGTGTGCAGTGTGGTGCACTGGGAAAAGAGAGCATGTGGTCAAGAGAGAGAGAAAGAAAAAGAGAGACGCAGTGGCATTGAATTGTTTGTGTGTCATAATAAAACTCGCACATATACAGGCAGATAAAAAAGGGAATAATAATAAGAAAAGTGCAACGCGACACTTTTTTTTTCCCATTTTATTGTTCGCCGTGAATGAAGGCCGCGCGTGAAATTCACCTGCAATTTTTATTTCCAGCCTCCCGTGTTAAAAACTATAGTTGCCCGCCCACGCGGCCCCGGCTGCATTCACTCTCTCTGCTTGAGAGAGCTAGTTGCATGGGATTTGAACCCTGATCTTTTCAAGTGTGACGGTCAATTTACACAGTCTGCCAATAAATCTCTGCGCGCCGCCGAGAGAAGATGCGCTAAAAAATTAATGAGCTGCGCCGCGACGAGATGAATAAAATCAGCAGATCTCGCCGGCATGCTTCATTTTCCATTTATTTTACACCGTCGATGCCTTTGCAAATAAAAGGTGCGAGACAATTATGTTAACAATGCATTTTATACAAAGATTTTTTTTTCTTCAAAAATTCCTTTACACTCTCCGTTTGCGCCGAGTATGTTGAACTTTTCTGACACACTTGAAAAAAATTTCTCCTGCAACTTTATTTACTTGAAAAAGGCAAATTGTAATTAATCGTCAGTTAACGAGTTAAATGTGCCATTTGTGTCAGAAGTTCACAAACAACTCACGTCCTTGGATCTAAATTTTGATGCTAATCACTAATCGTGTCGTGCCAGCGTTTCACCGCCATTTTTACTTGTCAGCCACGTCCGCCTTAATTAAATCATGCACAGCAATTATTTAAATTAAATATACATATTCGCGACTGGCAGCAGCCGAACCTGTAATTTATTTTAGCTTTGAGTTTCTCCATTTTGTTCTGAATTCGATTTTTGCTATAAACACGTTCACAAGTATATTTTCTCAATAATTTGCATAAATTGAGACAAAATAAAATTTTAGGCACCGGCCGAGAGGCAAGACTTTTCTACATGTTCCCGCGCACGGTGTATAATTCCGATCGTCTATCAGCGTCTGAAATCAGTTTCTGAAATTGCGAGAGTATGAGCTGCAGAATTCGCAATTACACTTAATGATAAGTATGTAAGGGGTCTTTATTATATTATTTTCCGTTCGCATTATTGTGATGTGTTCAACTGTGGATAATTTTCATTAAAATCCCATGATGGTTGCTTAAAATGTGAGGGGCAAGAGCAAGTCTAATTTGAAAAAAAAAAAATGATAGCGTTCTTTTGAATGATTTGTTTTAAATGAATTTATGAAGCTGGCAACAAAGTTTCTCAAACTGTATGTAATTACTTACAATGAAATTTGCTGCGGAACAACAGGATATACGGCCAGGGCGAGCGAATAACAATATTATAATGACGGTCGATGATAAAACGCGTCGTTAATGCGGCGTGTGTTTAAAATAATGCACATTGCGATGATTGATGCAGCGTGTCGTTTCCGAGGCGCAGCCAAATAAATTACACCTGCACGCCGTAAACACTTTGACAGTTTAATAATATCACGAAATTATGTGCAGTGCAGAGAATGTGCGCCAGCAAAAAGCAATTTGCTTGAACTGGGTGGGAAAAATTTTAAAATTTATGTGGGGTAAGGTATAGAAGAAAAGCGATGTGCTCATTTAACAACCCTGGCGTATAGATTTAAGCAAAAGACATGTTTATTTAAAATTTATTAGGTCAGTTTGAAACTCATCTGAGATTTTGCTAAATTGAGATAAAAAAAAAACAGCCACTCCTTAATGCAATTTAGCTTTATGATTTGAATGTGAACATTGATTAGTAAAATTTTCAATTTTAAACACAATGTGCTAGAAGGCAGTGAAGGCACATAATGATCAAAGGAGATTTGTGGAAATTTCCTTAAGTTAATTAACAAAAATTTAGTACTGAGCTTATAGTTTTAGTATGTATAACAATATAATTTTAAGTTTTTAACTATCCACAAGCCTCTGTGATCTCTGATGCTTATCAAGAGTGTAAACCATTCGTAAAGTAAAAAAAAAAATATTTAATTCTGTATGTGGCAAAATTAAAATTAACAAAATTTTTCACTTCAGTATGCAACAGTTGATATTTAAATATATTTAAGGATACAACAGAAGTTTGCGTTTTCCCTAAACTATAGATTTGTAACCATCTCCAATTGGATATCACGTTTTCAGATTCATTGACAAAAAGACGTTGGTCGTTATCGGGAGCAGCGCGTGTGTGTCTTGATTAATGAGGGGTGTAAGGAAACATCAAAAGCCGCGTAGATTCGGCCTCTGTTTTTCCGAAGAACAAAATGTTATGTCGTCTCGTATCAGGGGACACGAAATGTCGGCCGATAAAGTTATTAAAAAACACTAAATGAGGCGCAGGTAGATGAGCAGCCTGCTTTTCGGTCGTGCCTGCTTTTTTATATAATGCGGTCCGCGTGTCTCTCCTGCTGAAGGGGACAGCGCAGATAGATTTTCATGAGATGAACGAATATCTGTTTTGGGAGTTAACGACGTGTAAAAGATGTCAACCTTATCAGAGAATAAAACAGCCATCCATGCTATACGACCGGTGCGCTTAATATTATGTCGGAGGCATCCAGTTTTGAGGCTGCTTTCATGTCTAATGTTACCCGAAAGCAAGTCGCTGTCATAGTTGTGATAAAAGCTAAATATTAATATTTAAACTAATTAACAATTATATTTTATAAATAATAATCAAAAATACATAATTGTATATTTTATTGATTTTAATAAATGTTGTTCTATTTAAAATTATATCTAACAAAAATAATTATATTAATTTTGGTTTTTATTTAAATTCATAATGGATAAAATTGGTATTATTTGGTATTAGGGTAAGTTTAATTTTTTTAGTTTTAATTTTGTAGACATTTATAATTTTAGTTATTTTATATTTATAAATATGCAGAACCAATGATCTAGTATCTTATCCTGCAGTAATGTAAAATCTGATGAATCTCTTCAAAATATAAATTAAATTTTAAAATTAAAATGATTTGCGGCAATGAAAGTTTAGCTTATTGAGATTAGTCCTAATGTAAAATAGTTTAAAGTTCTCACTCTGGACAATGGAACTATACTGCACCATATAAAGAAATATTTCTCTTAAAAATTAAAATAATTTTTCTCAGTAAAACTAATTCGGATTATTTGCGAGCGTTGATATTATCACGTTAAATAAATATATTGCCAATATAACAGATAAAATTGGAGAAAACGAAAGGAATAACCAAATAACGCTTATTGCTGCTAACAAAATTCACGCCAGTAAAAGATCATTGGTGCCCAACCAGACCTCGTTGCCCCAAATACTAAAAAATCAATCATCGACAAAATCCCATGAGGTCACTCTTGTCCCAACACAGCACAAGCATAGGGAATCGGTGAACTATTTTGCGTCCACGGGGCACAATTTGTCAAAGAGCGGGTCCAGCAGAAGGTGAGAAGCGTGTGGGATTAAATTTTGGAATCCCGCCGACTCGCAGTAAAAATATTAAGCCGCGCAAATATTTTTCGCTCTCCTCTCTCTCATAAGTAGTAGTATTATTTGCCGGGGCCGAAGCAGCGAACGTTTCCGAGCAATGGAGAATAAATTTTTATATCATAAATTCTTTGATGCTTATCTGAACTACCACAGCCAAAATGCTACCAAGGAGAACCAGCTTGTGGGTAAACCTATGGGTTCACAATTTAAATTGTCGCTCTTCAAACCACTTACAAGATGTTTTCTTTCTTGCCAGCTACATACATTATCCGCTCGCTCGCCAAGAACAAATACATATACCCGAGAGAGCGACCTATAGATCTCGTACATATACGCGCGCAACCTCCTATATACATAAATATAATTTCCACCAGTGTGCTAATTTATTTCGAGATTTCATCGCGGCTCCATTTTCATTAGGCGATCTACATTTCGAGATGAGCTAAGAGCATGATGAAAAGAAGCACTGTGATTTTTGATAACTTAAGTTTAATTCGATTCTCCTGGCTGGAGATAATTCTGCCCGCACTTAAAATAGATTAAAATTAAAACCTGGGGATTTTTTAAAAAACAAAATAAATGGCAGGTTTATTGAAGAGTTTTCAACGGCCGTCTTTTAACGACGGAACAAATCAATTATCGCTCAAAATCATCAGCAATTTGATAGCCCGTTGTTGCAGAGGAAGATTGATGTTGTTTTAATTAATTGTTGTGTTAAGTAATTATTATCGATTAGCAAAAAATAATAAATTATCACGAGAAGGCCGGCCGCGGAGCGCAATATAATAAAATTAATAGACAATGCTGCCGGTCCGGTGTCTGAGTGAGTGCCGTGCTATTATAATGAGAAAGAGAGAGGAGAAGCGGCAGAAGGGTCGAGTCCGAGGTGTGGGAAAGGGTGGGGATGCAGGTGGCAGCACCGGCGCTAAGGTCGGCCCAGGGAGTGTTCCGTCCTCTTGGTTACAGTCAGATTGCTACTCGCACCTCTCACATGTTTCACTGACTGATTGTGAGTGTTGCTTCTTTTCTCCAGCATCATTTGCATTTGATTTCACGAATTGTTGCGTGATTTGCGCCTCGTGTTCGTTCTGTGCGCCTTTGTTTACCTTGCCACACCGAGACTCCGCTTGTTTCTACGCGGCGAGAACCCTTTTTCGACCATCCAAACTGTTTCCACGCCACTTCGGTAAGTAAAAATCCAGGCAGTACCAATTCTGGAATGTTGCAAAATATTCTAGTTATTTAATTACCAATGTTTGATTAATACTACACTTTTAAATAATTACATTTATTAAAATTCAAGTTGGATCAGTTAAAAAAAATTAACCAGAGCAAATATTTTTAAAAATTCAAACATTTTCATTTCAGGCCAAATCTATTTTTTTTTTTTATTAAAGCCTTAAATATTACAAGAGAATTTTAAATTATTAGGCAGTATTTTCTTATTTTTAGAATTCTATTTTCTTTTAATGATCATTTAATATTTATTACTTATACAATTATGTTCACACAAATTTGCATCTGAAATTCCTCACGTCTCGGAATTCTTGGCTTGAATTATTCAGTGCACCATTTTTTTTATTCGTCTTTTTCACCTCGCATTAAACGAGCCTGGCAAAAATTGAAAGTTTTCGTGCGAGGCGAGGCACCATTTGTCAAGTTGCCTCGTCTAATTGGATGCACACTTCTCTCGACTTTGAGGCCACTTCGTGCACGGCCAGAAAGAAGAGTGGATTATTCACAGACTCGGACGCACGATCCGCCTCAAAAATGCGAGAGTCTTTGTGCCCAAAGGGTCAAAACCGAAATTCATTTGCAATTTTTATTCGCCAGCACCTGCTGTCGTCTCCTATCCGCCGCATGGTGCATGCGGTCCGTTTCAAAAAGAAAAATGCTTTCTGTGTGTTCGAAAGGGTTAAATTAATGAATTTAGGATTTTTCAAATTATTAAAAAAAAAATCAATGGCTTAGAAATAATTTCAGTTCCGAAATACTTTGGAAGATATTTGCTTTTAATTCGGAAAAATATTAATGAAAAGTACTCGTCCTATTAAATATTGTTTTTATGTTATCTATTTTTGTGTTTCTGATTGTAAACTTAACTTTGGAGGAGTTCAAGAGTGAATGGGTCGGGACCAATCAGTAATTGGTCGGCGTGCTTGCTCTTTCCGTAGCAGGTCGTAAAAAACGGAGAGCAGAGGGTCCATCATCATCATCATAACTCATTTATCTCGGTATTGAGTTTAGGCCGTGGTGCAAACGTGTTATTATCAAATATAATACGTGTTGAGGTAATTACCCGAGAGAGTGTAACAGAGAGAGCAGCTACTGCGCCGCGCACTTGATAATTAAATTAAAACCACACACGCGCGCCGGCACGATAACGCGGCCCCACCAATGTTCAAATTGGAATTAAGAGTTGCGCTTTTTCCCCGAATCAAATGCAGAAAGAGCGTCAAAGGGTTACTTATAAACTGTATAGATGTGAAGGAGTGTGTCTCGCATTTATGTATTCCGCTTCTCGCACTCCGTTAAAAGTCAATTAATCATCGTCACTATAGAAATGCATCTCGCCGCGCCGAGGGACCTTTGCTTGCTTTTCATATTATTATTACCATAATGCCGCCGCCGCTTCTTTTTATACACACACACACACACACGCGCTCTGAGGCTGATGAGGAGGCTGAGTGTGACTGTGTCATGAGATATGCGGAATTCAAATTGAGCTTCTCTCTCTGCTCGCGCGTGAATTCACTCGGCTTGTGCATTTTTCATCCTTTCAGTGCCGCCGCGCCAACAGACACTTAGTTTAACACATTGTTGCACTCAAGAGTTATGTAGATTAGTTATGAATAAGGTGGTGATTGAGCAACGTTTAATGCGTACTGCCTTGAATATTGAATGATGGCTGTTTGTGTGTTTGCAGTTGGAGTTAATTGCATTTCCTTCAATTTGAAATTAATCAATGTATAAGAATTAGATCTGGAATATGATAATCTGAATTGAGAAATTACTTTTTATTATTTATATTACTGTAGTTTTATTCAATTTGTAATAATAATAATAATAATATTTGTTGAAATTCAATTATAATGCAACCGATAAACATTTAATTTTACACATAGAGGTGTGCTGAAAGCTAACATAATTTTATCAAAAGGAAATTAAGCAAAATAATTTGAATAACTTTTGGAGGATATTTATTTATGTGTATTTAATTGCTCGGTCCTCATCATTGTAAATATATCTCCGTTACTATTTACCATTTCATATATTGCAGCTTCAAATTTTACGTATTTCCTGGTCTTGCTATAATAGTATAAATATGTCATTGTGTTTAAAATTCCCAACTGTATGTTAAAAAAAATCTTCCATCTAACCTTTAAAAATTACGCGATTGCGTTTAAATGTGTTTAGATTAAGTGCGCATAAAAGAGGAGAACAAAGAGGACGAGGAGGCGGTCTTTGAGGTGTCTCATTCTCATCAAGATTTATTTATAATTTCATTACGTTGTGTACGCATGTGTGTTACATACAGCGGCTTATTCTTATGATGAATGCAAGCCCTGAATGCACCTTGTTTGCTTATGAGACAATGGAAGAAAGAAAAGGAGATTATCATAATTGTGCAGCGGTGACAGCGCGCGGTTCTCTTGCACGAATCGCAAACTCATACCCAGGGTAGTTAATTGCCAAGTAACTTGTAGGTGCGTTTTAGCGTTCCAAGCATTTTTCTGGTCTAGTGATTTGCCGACTGAAATAACTCTCCCGCGTGCATTATATTAATTATAATTTATCTGTTTTTGAAATGTGTGTAACACGAGCAGAAACGATCATGCCGTGCGACATTAAATTATAAATTATTGCGCTTTTAATTAGCTGGCAATGGTCGATATTTGTTTGCGCCAAGATCACGCCGCTGTTCCAACAAACGCTCACAAAGCGAGTATTTTTCTAATAAAAAACACTTCAATAGAAAAACCGTGAGTGATTCCCAGCTAATAAATTATATGTTCAGCATAATTTTACTGACGGCGGTCGGACACGGTGACGTGCCATGTCATTTATCAAGATCGATCGTCGCTATGTCGCTAATTAAAACTGCATTGTGATATATAATTAAAGTAAGATCGATAATTAATAAATTTTTCGAGCAGAACTATGAACTAAATCGCAAGTTATAATTTGACGAGAAAAATTTGAATTATCTTAAATTCTGAATTCATCAAATCTAAAAAATAGTATTAAAAAATGGAAGTTTAAAATTAAAATGAGTTTACAGATTAATCAAATTGATTTCCTGCTAAATTTTTGTGGCCAAAAATTTATATTAACTTCTAAATTGCATAAAAACGTATAGAAACATAAGTTTTGATATTAGCATTTTTTATTAGATATACCTGGCCAGTAAAATTTCTTAAGTTTTTAATCATAGAGTGTAAAATAGTTGAAAATTATAAGATTTTACACTATGATTAAAAAATAATATACTAAATAAATAAATTAAGTAACCAGTTCAATGTTTTGTGCCCCAGTGAACATTAAAATGTGCGAGCTTGATTAATGAAGTTTTACCAGCTACTGTTAGTTGTTTTGAGTTTTTTCCTCTCGTCTTAGGGCTCGGCAAGCAACACCACAGAATAAAATTAAACGAGCCTTTTTCTAACCATGTGAGCGAGCGAGACGCGTTCTCGTCCGAAGTTGCACAAGAGAAGAAGAAGAAGCGGCGGCGGCGGCTCAAGATTTAACTGTAAATAAGCAAGTGAGCGAGCAAGCCCCGCGAGAGTGGACCCGGCCGGTGAAAAAGACGAGAGCGTACCTTATTATAATGCTGTAAATTATCAAGCACTCAAATGAGCAGTGAGTGTCTGTGTATTTTATTTAAAGAGCGCACACACAGAGCGGCATTTAAAGAATTAGTAATTACCATCGAGGGCTATCTCTCGAATGTTGTTACATAAAACGGCCGCTTTTAGGCTACCTGTAATAAATTTAATTCCGCGCCCCATTTTTTTCCATTCATTTTTTAAGTTGACCGTTTTTTCTTAATGAAGCTAATTAAAGCACATGCGCATTCTTGTCCCTCAATTATTGCAGTCAATCCGTAAAAAAAAAGAAGTTAAAGTTTTAATGAAACATAAAAAAGCTACCGAATATAAATTTAAACAAAATCGGAATTTCCTTACCAATAAAATTTGCAGGTTTTACAACTTATTAAAGTACTCGATAATAAATGGTTTTTATTGGCCAACAGAAGATGTAAATTTTGCACAGGCTCCTCTAAAAATCTCGCATGAAAGATTCCAATGTTTTTTTTTTAATTTTGCTAAATAATCATTTCCTTTGAGAAGCACTTTCCGTCGTTTTCCATCCAATTTCCACTCTGGAGCAATTAATCAGCATGATTGCGTCAAAAACCGTCTCTCTGACATCTGGCCACCAAGACACAAATGGTGTATAAACCGAATTCCGCGGCGAGAAATCTGCGTATAGAAGCAGAGCGAGTGTGTCACTCGCCTTCGCAAAACCGTGCACGCGCGAGCACATTATTTTATTGGCCGAATTTTACGCCGACATGATATATTGCGCCGGCCGCTTTTTTAATGATTGTACCCCTCGCATGCTCTTTTGCCGGCGAATAATGGAATGACGAGGAAGAAAAGGCAAACGAGACCGAAAAAGATTAAGAGTCAAATGAGTTATGTATATTCAGCGACGAATACTTTTAACCGACTACATTATTTCGAGCCGGCTAGCGAACGCCGCGATGCTAAAAATCTGCCGCGCTGCTGCTGTGCCGCGCCGCTTAATTTTAAAACACACCCATTAAATATTTATGTATCAGATATTTGTCTGCGCCGCGTACACATACACATAAAATTATCGTGCGTCCCAGCACACGCAAAAAATGCGACTCTCGAATAAAATTGTATTCATTAAGGAAATAAATATATAATTCCTTTAACTCGATAAGGGATTATCAGCTCCTCGCTGACTGAGAAAGGGCAGCCAGGCTTCGTCCGGAATTATTTTCTCTGCGCACTTATTCGCGGATATTTTGAGTGACAATAAATATTTGTACAAATTTCAATTTTTTTTTCATTTCGCATTTAAATTCAACTACAAGCCAACACCAGAAGCGGAAGAAATTCCGTAAACAATATATGATTATTTGTCAAAAAGTTC